ATAAAATAAACAAACCTGCAGTTTGAGGAAAGGAGGAGGAATCTCTTATGCACCTGGGCTCATGAGAAAAAGGTCTACCAAATACTCTTGCAATAAACTAATCTCACTTTCCTGTAAGGGGAGCAGCTTTTGTGCTACAGACAAACTGTTGAACTCCCTTGTTGATCTTATCGTTAGAAGATTAGACTTCATGAAGTAGTAGCCAGTGAAATATGCCAGTATCTGATCTGGGATTTTGAACAGGCTGGTCCCTATGTACAAGAGACTACAAAATTTCCTTAATGGCCATGGAAAGACAAGCTTCTTCCCCAAAGTCTGTGAAAGACACGTTCTTTCCTTTTTATAGTTTCTTCTTGTATAGTTTTTCTCATATAGTTCTTACAGTCTATTTTCCCTTTCTAAATAAGGAGACTATCTTAACACAGTACTCTTATGCTCTTATGTCTCAATTTCTTGAAATCAAGCAGATTTTGTTGTTGTTTAGCTTTTTTTTTCTCTCTGTAAACCTGATCTTGGCATTTTTCCAAGATTAGTGGCATACCAACCAGAAATGTGTCCAACAACATCTGTGGGGTCTGCAGGCAGAAAATATTTGCAGCTATAAATGAAGAAAGAATCACTGAAAATACCTACTATATCCTTTCCGTGTAATTTTGGAACTATTGTTTTCTCCTCTTTTCTGCTGCATTAAAATTAGCAATAACAGTAATAAAAAACAAGGTAAAGAAAAAAAAGAAAAAAAAAAAAAAAGGAAAAAGCACGTTCAGAAACAGCACAGGAGTAAAAATAGGTTCTTTGAAATATATTTTGGTTCTGTAACACAAATTGAGTTCCTGCAGCTTTCTGATAGACAAACCCATGCAAGAATTGCCATAACCCTACAGTTTTATGCCAAAATCTGCCTTCCAGGTACTTTGTGCACAGGCTGTTTGGTTGTACCTGGCAGTACATTTGACCACCCCAGACGTGCTGGCCCATCAGCCAGGTCTGCGAACTCAGGATCCCGTATACTGCAGCCGACTTCCTCTGGCTGTGCCTGGGCTGTGTTTGAAGAGTTCCTGTAAAGCAGCTGTGGAGCCCTTCTCCAAAGATGGCACATCCATAGGCGACAGCCTGGCTGAAGAGACCGTGTCTGATACTCAGGGGTACCAAACAGCTCAGCAATTCGTATTCCAGAAACTAAAAAGGAAGGTACCGCATACGTGCTGGAACGCTGTTACTAATCACCCCCTTCTGCAGTTCATAAGCATCTTGGCTTCTTCTGTGCTGGAAAATATGAATACTGGTCTGGATGTTCAGGCCATTGGCTTCAACTTTAAAATATTTCTAAGTATTCTAAATATTTTAAGTCATTTGAAACTGCTGGGTTATAAAACAAGGCAGTATCCATAATCAGTCATTAAAATTATCTGTGGATGGTTTGACTGGGTTTGCAGATGAATATACTGAGTCTTGTTTACATCCGAAAGATTTGTTAACAATACACCTGATACCAGGTTTCATGAATCCTGCATCCGTGGTTGGTGTACTGCTGGCAAGAAAGAGGCTTCCCCATACCGCAGTGAGAAAGTTGATTTGAAGAGGATGTTAAGTAACCCATATCCTTTCCCTCACAAGTGTGCTTTTGATTTGGATTTTCTAAACTGTACCCTGATTACTTGCTAATTCTTGTTTTGATCTGCAGTGGAGGGATGAGATGCCCACATTAAATAAATGGAAAAACAATTATTATTAAGGAGCAATTATATTTAGGGAAGATGATAGTTCTGTTTGGCTTTATCTTATCTGAGACTCCAAGCAAGTTAAAAAAAGAAAAGTGCATATATATTTTCCTCCTTGGTTTTAAGACATTCGGAAATCATTTATATAATGAGAGGAACATTTTAAAGAATGTAAATCATAGTTTTAGAAAGACCATGCAGTGGTATTTGCTCTTTAAAGTAGTAACAAGATTGATATAATCCACTTTCAGAACAAGTGATCTTTTTGTTTTCCCTCCTCTTAGTAGTTAGCAAACTTCCTTTTTTCTCTAGCAAATGAAATAACAGTTGGAGATCTGCTGCTGCATCAGTAGAAACCTGCCTGAGTTGAAGCAAAGTTTGGCTTACTTCTTCGAAGCCTATTTTAAATACGTGTGAGGAGGAAATTCAAATTTAGCCTTACCCCTAAAAAATACATATACAAATAAAGTTTAAAAAATATATGAAGTAAACTAGAAGAGTTAATGTAAACTCGAAAAAAAAATAATACTTTTGCTTTGATTCTGGCCTAGAAAAGCACCAAGATTTATCTATTGATAAATTTAATTTCCAGTTTTCTTAACAAGTTAGATGGGAATGCACCTATTGTATGGGACACTTTTGGACTGGCTCTGCTACCTGATGGCTTGGTAACCAGTAGCTGTAGGTAAAATCAAGACATTAATTGCTCTCTGGGTCTAGAACAGGACTAAGATTATTAGTAAGAACACACACTATTGAATATTTACCTGTGTACAGAAATATGCATAGTATGTTCTTAGTTTTAAAAGACTAGAGAGAGTAGTTGGTTGAACTCTGATGTGCTATGCACACTTCTACAAAATAGTGCCTCTTTTTACATTACACAGCATGCTATTAAAGCATTGTTTATTTCCTCATAGAATTAAAAGAAGTGAGAAGATTATGCTAGAAAAAAAAATTACTTATGTATATCCCTTAAAAAAAAAAAAAAAAGGAAAACAGTGTCAATATTTAAAGCTTGTTTCATTATTAAATATATTGGTAATGGCTTCTAGTTGAAATTCTGACTACAGAAAGTAGTGTAGCAGACAAGGAGAATTTTAGGTCTGATATTGGCTTTGTATACAGCAGATTCTGAAACACGGCACCCAAACAGTTTCATCACTCAGTTAATGTAAGGTAATATAAGATTACCATTCGTTTTTTTCATATTTTTTCCCCAACCTCTTTCAAGAACTGCTGTATCATAATTCCTACATCTTCCAGTGGCCATCTGTAGAAAGCTCGAACAGCAGCAATGTTTACGGTGTGCATGGTAGCCAGATTGACCTTCCTAACATCTGAGATTTTGGCAAATATTTTGTGCTGCAGAGTTAGCTGGGGATACGTGGTGGCAGGGGAGATGCTCCAATTGCTCGTGCTGTGAAGGTAGCAAAGAATGCAGATGATTTTTCTCTTTTGCTTTTTTATGCCCACAATTGTTCAAGTTTTCAGTTAGTCAGTTACAAACTGGCTTAACTTCTGAAAATTGAGCCGCCCCACACACATCTTTTTAAATTAATGTGTGTTCAGACATAGCACAGGTGCCATTTATTGACCTTACTGACAAAGTGTTTTCCTCGCTCGATTTCTGAACTGCCGCAGATAATACATCACAAGTAACTTCCTCCTACTTACTCTCCAACAGAGAGGAGCTGTTTTACTTGGAAGGGATTAAATCCTGTTTGACTTACTGTCATCATGCCCAAAAGGCCCAACTTCCAAGAACCAGATTCTCAAACACAGGAGGAGGGAGTTATAATCTCTAATCACCTATTAGTTCTGTTGTTTTTGCCCTTTAAAAATAAATAAATAAATAAATAAATAAATAAATAAATAAATAAATAAACAGAGCGGAGTGGATGCATAAGTCTTCCTGCTTTAGCAGCTGAATGTTTGACTTCTAATATACCCTGATCACACCATAAGGAATTGAAACACAGTTTGTTTATGCAACAATAGCCAGTTCTGCTTAGGGGTCTGAGAAGGTAGTCTTAGGAGCTAATTTCCCCAGCCTTGCTAACGTAGCTTTTGAACTCAGATTAAATATGGTCAGTATTTTAAGAATCTTCACAGTGTCATTAGAAGTGACAAATGCAGGTTATCTTTACTTACATCTTGATATATGTGAGAATAAAGCAGAGATTGTACGAAGCCATCTAAGTGAAGGTAAGGTTTAGATGCTAAAAATAGGAAATGATACAACTGAAAAAAAACACACCTTAGGTAAATGAAAGTGAGAGCAAATATTAAGTATATAGAAGGCAGATGGCTTTTTGCTTAGATGAACTAGCAAGGTTAGTAATTTTTGTAATGCTTTAAGCCTGTGTTCATATATACAAAAATGGATGTAAATAAATATTTCTTTTTGTGTTACACTGATAACAGTTGCCTAGTTGTGGATGAATTGGAGGAATGTTTGTCCTCAGTCTTCTGGCTAGAAAAGGACAAGAGGACTTCTGCTCTCACTGAAATACTGTCTGCACAGAGAACCTCCTATAAGTAACACAAAAGGTAACTAGCTATGAGATGAGAGTTTTGGAGTTTAAAGTCAGATGCAAATACTCAGGTGGCTGAACAGAGATTTTGTACACTTAGGATGCCAGAGACTAAAACACAACAATAACATAACATGGACATGATCTATAAGGTCTTCCGATGCTTAAAGGGAGCCTAAAAGAAAGATGGAAGAGACTCTTTACCAGGGCTTATAGTGATAGTGGATGGCTTAAAACTAAAAAAGGGTAGATTTAGATTAGACATTAGGAAAGAATTCTTTACTATGAGGCTAGTGAGGCTACTTTACAGAGAGAACAGAAATGTGGGAAATGCCCTTTTCATGCTGATGCCAAGGCTGTTTATTAGAGAGAAGAGTATGGTCTTGAATTCAAAGACTATATATATATATCAGTGTTTCCCACACTCTAAGTGAGCACTCAGAGAGCTACATTTAAGCAACTGAGAAGGGTGTTTGGACCCTACCCTGATGCACCTGTTCCCATGCATGGTACAAAGAAACTGAAAACATCCACAAGTGCCTATCGCCATGAAAATTGTCTGCCATAGAACATGTACATTACAGCAGCCAGCACTGCAGTGTGATGGCGCATTTTTAGGTTAAAGTTTACAGCCACGATTCTTAGAAGATTTGGACATTTAACGTACAGTGATTGTGAAATACTATTGAGAATATGTCGTCTTAACTAGGGGAGCTAGGATGAAAATTACATGCAATAAATGCAGTAATAAACTACTCCATAAACGAACCTTTATTGCACTTGATTGGAAGTAGTTTATACAAAAAAATACGGAAACACCCTTGTCTAGGCAGGCTCTTTCATACAGCTATTCAAAGATTAAAGTATATAAACTACATAGCCATGTATCTAAATAACTTTTCATCATTAAATATTTAAATGAAACTGCTTTTTTTAATAATGCTGGTTAAAACACGTAGAAAAATCATGACTACAATGACAAAAATAAAACAATTTCACAGCAAGTAAAAGAAATTCCAGTAGCTCAAAACTTTGTTATACAGACACGGGTAGATGATGGACAAAGAGGCAAGGGAAATGAATCCAGCAGATATTTGCTACATACTCAGCCTTACATGTCTCTGACTAGGATTTTAGAGCTACTTTCAAGTTTTCCCAAAACATCTCCTGCTGCTCTTCCTCACGAGGCCACTCCAGGTAGGTCTTTGTGTTCATTATCTTCCGCAGTTTGCAGAACCTCTTGGGAATAGCTTGGCTCTGGATGGGCTCCAGGAGGATGAGAATGGCCGCATCGTTGTTCTCGTCAAATAGGCGGAAGTGCGAGAAGTCCAGCTCGTACTTGCACCACTCGCTCTGCACAAAGTGCTCCGACAGCACGAAGAGCGTTTTGTGGCTCTTCTCAATGGAGTCGATGATGTTATCCACAATCCACTTCCCGGGCACAAAGTCCCGCTTATGGAGGCACAGCCGAAAGGGGGGACACGCCTGCTCCAGCTCCTGCACCATGACGTTTTCCACCCAGTTGGAGTCGTTCTCACTGTAGGAGACAAAAGCATCGTAGCAGATGTCCTTGGGGGGGGCTCGCTTGGGCTTCCGCTTGGCTCGAAGCCATGCCCACGTCATTCTCATGTACCAGACTGCGTGGTACTTGTACCCGATGGCCACCAGGACGAGGATGACTACGAAAAACACAGCGCAGATCAAGGACACCACCAGGGACTGGTGACACTCCATCAGTGAGAGATGAACGGCTCCAACCTGTGCCCCTCTCACTGCCAGGGGAGAGTCGCAGATGTAGCCTTCTGGCCACCCCACGAGCATCTGGCCTATCCCTGCCTGGTGCTGAATGAAGGAGAGGAATTCACAGGAACAGATAAAGTTATTGGCACTGGCATCCAGCAGCTCCATTTTCTTGAAGGACTCCAACTCTTCCTTGGAGAAGCTGTTGAGCTTGTTTCCTCTGATTGACAGGGCCACCAAGTTAGGAATGCTTGCCGCATCAGGCAAGGCCTTCAGCTGGTTTTTTGCAAGGTACAGCTCTTTGAGAAACGGCAGATGCAGATTAAACTCCTTCAGGTTGTTTGCACTGATGTCCAACACTTCGAGAGTTGAGGGAATGCAAGCCGTTAATTTGGGAATTTGAGTCCTAGAGAGATTCAAATATTTCAAATTTGCTGGCCACTCACACACATCTGGAATCTCACCAAAATTGTTTTGGCTAATGTCTAAAAGAATTAAGTTTCTTAGATGAGACAAGCTTTTAGCTGTCATTTTAAAGTCACTCAGTGAATTCTGACTTAAATTTAAAGTTTTTAGTAAAGGCCAACCACCCGGACAGGCTGAATGTTCCAAACTCTGATCTCCAAGCAAATTTGCACTAAGGTCAAGATATTCTAATGACAGAAGTTGTTTTGAAAGCCTGCATGGTACCAAAAAGACCTTGGTATTTTCAACTGTGATTTTGGTAAAGAGAGATACTAGATCTAGTACAGCCTGAAGATCCGTAAACAAATAAAATTCCTCTATAGATAATTTCTCAATTGTCAGAACTCTCAGAGACTGTGATTGGTTTGCTTGAATTTCTAAATCCCATCGTCCAGTGCCCAAGAGTCTACAGTCTTTCATCTCCACCTCAACTAATCTTGGCACCTTTTCTAAAATAGTGACAATCCCAGGCACAGTAGCATCTGTGAGTAAGACCTGTTTAAAAGAAATTTTCTTTGCAAAAGACAAAGATAAAACGCTCAAAAGTTGCATTTCTTCAGCTATATTGAATGCTATTTCTCTAATTTCTAACCAAATGGCAGAGTGCAGAAGATCACGAACAATTGCTGAGAACAGATCTACCCTTCTTATGCTTATGATCATGTGATTTATCTTCTTAATTGACTTCAGACTTCCAGGCTCATATACACTGAGATTGCTGCCCTCGATCCACAACTGGTCGAGAAGCGTAATGCCCTCAAAGTTTCCTTGCCTTATTGTGGAGAACCGCGGGTTGCCCAGGTGGAGAGAGCTCAAGTTTCTCAGGCTAGAAAAGGGAGAACTTTCCCCCAGGTCGCTATAGCAATTGCCGTGAATGTGGAGGTGCTGGAGCGAAACAAGGTGATCAAACCACCTTGGGGACAAGTGAGCCAGGCGGTTATTTGACAAGTCCAAGAGCTCCAGCTTCCCCAGGGAGACAAACGAGTCCTCGTCTATGGAGCTGATTTTGTTGGACTGCAGCAGCAGGGTCCTCAGGTTCACAGCCTGCTGCAGATCATGCGCTCGGATGTGCTTTATCCTGTTGCGGGCCAAGTCTAACAGCGTGATTTTGTCCGTGAGCCCCGAGGGAATGAAGTCCAAGCCCATGGAAGAGCAGTTGCAAGACTGAGTGGCATCGCATGAAGGACAGACCTGCTTCAGGGCTTGTTCCTCAGAGAGACTGACAGCCAAGACCACGTACATGGCCCACACTTGCCAGGTATGTGTCGACATTTTTTTGCCTAAAATATGAAATAGAGAATTACAAGATGATTACTTAGTTCTGAAGTAGCTACGTTTTGGATAATAGTTATAACATAACCCTTACTGTTCCTTTTAAAGACACTATGACTATATCAGTTTTTAATGTATTTCAGAGATTACATAGCTTAGTCAAAAATGGGACTCTACATACATATCCCACAATCATTTGCTAAATGCTAAGTATATTGAATTCTTTTTTTTTCTTCTCCTAAGGGTTCTAGTTTTGGAATTAGGACTATCAAGTTAATTAATAGTTGTACATATTTTTGAAAGATTTAGTTAAATATCTGAATAATCACAACATTCTTACTAATATGATCCTTTGCCTGTTTAGAAAATAGTCCCCATATATCCCATCCCACTCCCACCCCAAATCCTGTCTTAAGTAGCTTTCCCCTGGAGCTGTGAATATTACTTTGTATATTCATTTTTTACTATGAAGAGTCTTGCATATGTGATTCAAATCCTGGTCACATTAAGAAGAGCCCGTGTCTTGTGGGAAATAGAATCAGAGTATCCTGAGTTGGAAGGGACCCAGAGGGATCACCAAGTCCAGCTCCTGGCTCCACACAGGACCACCCAAAAATCAGACCCTGTGTCTGAGAGCATTGTCCAAATGCTTTGAACTCCAGCAGGCCATGACCTGGGCCATGAGCCCAGGTTGCCCTGTCCCAAGTGCAGAATCCAGCACTTGCTCTTGTTACACTTCATGTGGTTTGTGATTGCCCAGCCCTCTAGTCTGTCAAGATCTCTCTGCAAGGCCTCTCTACCCTTGAGAGAGTCCATGGCTCCTATGAACTTACTATCATCTGCAAACTTCATTTGAAGTCCTGCTTCCAGTATGTGATTCAAATCCTGGTCACATCAATAAGAGTCAGTGTCTTGTCAGAAATAGTAACTTTCACATTTAATATTCATACCAGCATGTGTCTAATCTGACTTCTGGTAATAAGGAGAAGCTGATTGAGTATGTTTCTGTCTCTTTCTTCTACCTTAGGCTATTCTGGGTGTACCTGTGCTAGGAGTTGGGAGCTACATATTTGCCTAGATGTCTCTGTAGGCCATCATTACCATGCTGTGATCAGTCTGACACTTGACACTGAAACTTAAGCTGGGAAAACTGACCACAGTAAACAACTGACTCTTAGTTCTTCCTTTTTACTGCTACATCTTCCTCCTCTGCTAGAGGCTTTTTCTGCTTTAGGTCTGTGTGGCAGATCTGGCTGGTCAGGCCTAGATGGAAGGAAGATCCAGCGGCTCTTGGAGCTTCCTGCAGCCAGATCACTTGGCTGGGCTAGATCATTTTTTTTCTCCATCCTCATAGCCTGTTCCTCATCTTCTAGACCAAAATGATTCAAAAAAAAAATCCACATTGTTGTAAATACTGTCTCACTTCTCTTTTCCCTCACATTCACGCCTTTTATAATACTGATTTGAAATGACTTTTTGTGTTACAGAGCTTGCCATAAAATCTAGCCTGGCCTCCCTTCCAACAGAGACGTTAGATCTTCTCTCCCTTTGAGGAGTTGGAAAAACGATTCTTAAAGCCTGGGAGGGCTGTTTTCCTTTCAAAACACTTATTACATATTGAGTTATAAATCTTTTTTGTTTATGCTTTCTTGGCAAGGATCAAAGAGCACTTTCAAAGCATGAGACAACATTCCTCAGTGTGTCCCAAACCCCTGGGATGTAGGTATTTTACCAAGGGTGAAAAAAATGAACTAACTCCAAAAATGACCAGAGAACATGTTCCCAAAGGTCATCGTGGGGTCTACATCAGGTTAACTGGGTTAGATGTACTCACTGAGGAGAACTTTCTCCTTCAGTCATCCCACTGCAACTCTGTGCAGAAGATCTACTTCAGTTTGAATTCATACCCTAGTTTGTTTTAGAGTAGCTGACCCACAATAGGAAGATTTAGGCAGACAAGTCCTACCATTTCTAGTTGCATTATTTTTAGCCAGAGTTGCTTAAAATCTTTCAAAAGGGGCAGAATTTGAGCAAATGGGGAGAGGAGAAAAGGATCTGGATATTTTTTTTCAGTCCTTCCATCTTTTCCCACCTAAAAGACTACAAGCATTTTGACCTCTTCTGCTATTTCCTTTAATCTCTCTCTTTCTCTGATGTGGAGCTTTGGGTCCTGAAGGACACATTCATCTCCCCGGACTTCAGATGCCCACAGCTGAGGTGGTCATTCACTCTGTCCTCTGAAGTCAATCAAGATAAATAACAACTTTTAGGGGCAATTCACGTCATGTCTCTTAGACACCCACATTAAGATCTGATGCCTCCAAGAGAAATTACACCATCATCTTAAAATGGTTTAGGTATCTAGATATTTAAGCAGGTGAATCCCACCCAAAGAATTACGATCTGTAGTCACAGTCACCTGCTATCCAGCTGAGGTTCTTTTACAGGGCTTCTTTGGTCACACAAGGCTGCCTGGATAACACAGTGCTGTAAGCCATAGGAGAAAAGCCGTGGTTAAGATTGGTTTCACAAGCAACACACTGAAGTGGAATTTCTAAAATGAATAGCAAGCCCAAGTTGCCATCAAACCTCCCACTGTTAGAAAAACAAGCAAACAAACAGAAACCACCAGGCAACACAGTCCATCAAAATCTATCTATAGGTAGGTTACTTACAGATGGAAAACTGGTAGAGCAGAAAGTAACTGGGCAGGTACTAACTACATTGGAAACACCAGCTGAGCCCAACAACTCTCCCCCTTACCAGCAGGAACTGAAGTAATGACCCCAGTTTGGTGGTACAGGAAGAGATTTTTCTTTATTGTCACTTCCCTGAGCATCTGTTTAAGGTTGTTTTGCTCGTCTGTCACATGGGGCAGATCCCTGGGGAAATTCCATTCCTACTCTCATTCATTTTCAGACATTCTTTTCCCCTTCCCATTCCTGTCTAATAATGCAGTTTCCTGACTTCCAGGGTCCTTTCAGGCCTCTCCACACCCTATCAAAGAATCACTTGTTCCCCATTGCACTGGACAGAAAAAAGAAAAAAAAAAATGCCACATAGAAACTGAAACACAGCTAATATGCGGAAACTTGCACAGATATGGTTGTACTGTAAGGCACAGTGATGAACTAAATTTTCAAAGTGTTTCTGGTTTATGGACAAAGCATCCAAGCCATCAGATGTGCTCAGGGTTATCTTTCCTGGTGCAGGCCAGTAGAAGTATATGTACACATTCTTAAAGAAAACAAGTATCAACAGAGCAAGATTCTATAAACACTGATAAAGGTGAATTTAACTGCATGCCAGCAGCATACAAATTGTTTCTGATTTGGGAAAGAGTACCAAGCTAAAAGAGAGCTACTAACATCTAGTAGAGCTGTAGTCTGAGGGGTCACTGGTTTGTGAAAGGATCAATCTACAAGTAGACTGGGGAAGTTTTTACTTCCCACTTGGTTGTGTGTGGATTGCTTACGTCCTGGGTACTGCCCATCAGCATTTCCTTAAAAGTATATATGCGTATATACACGTATACATACATGTACTCACACATGGCGGTGCAGCAGGGTGGAGTGACATAAGTAGCTAGCTGATCACACAGCCCCAAGACCAGTGCTTACTGAGTTCCTTCCTGGTTGTATTCCTAAAACAAAAGCAGCCCATATTCACACCTAGCCTTCCCTGAGCAGGTGGTAGTGACGTACAAATGGTGCAAAACAATGAATAGGACAAAACACACACAGGCACCCTCCCAAGAGGAAACTGAGATGAAATGACACAGCCTGACCCAACTTGTCTTTTTTTCATGTGCTGCTTTCTTCTGTCGCCGTTTCCTGAAGGACGATACTCCCATCAGCATGTCCCAGCTCTCCCAGGGAGCCTTCCCTCTCACTGCCTGCCATGCAGCCCCACCAGATGCCTGTGATTGCTCCTGACAGGAATCAGAAATCCTCCCCCCATCCTGCTCTCCCACAGGAGCCAGCCCATACCCAGCAGCCCCAAGCATCCCAAATTTCCCATGCAGAGGAGGACGACATGGTGGCAGAGATTAGATAGACCGAGTGCTCCATCCCCACTTCTCCCTACGGCATTGCAGCCTCACTCTCTCCCTGCGTCTCCAGCCTCCACCTGCCTGCAGACTTACCTCCATGTAGAAAACATTTCCTGGTGCTCCAGCTCTGGTGCCTGCGTGCCAGTTAACTTATTTCACGTTTCATCTCTCTCTTGGTGATCACTCTTCACTCAGCTACCTCTCGTGCTGCTGTCTCCTTCCCACTTCACTTCTCAGCTTGGGCTATGCAAGCAGGGGAATTCCCACCTAGACGATCTGATTGGCATAAGATCAGTAACGCCGTCGGTCTTCTTTAAATGTCTGAGCCCATAAAATTCTGTGTCTATGGTGAGAACATACCACATAAAAGTCAAGGCTTTTCTTACCTCTGCCTGACCTTCTCTGAAACATTTCCCTCCTTACCTCTAGGCATGCAGCCTCCTAATCAATCTTATCTGTGCTCAGTGTTTGCTGTCAGATGATTCACCCATCACTCACCTGGAACCCAGATTTGATTAGCCCTTGAGCTATTCTGATCCAAGAGGGTGACCAGAAAAGTTCCATTGTAGACTTTGGACTAACTAGAGATGTCATTGTAACAGGAAAGTAGAACCGAAAGTGGAGTTTGCATGCAAACCCCCAAAAGCTGCAATCTTGTGTATCTATGCATACACACGCACACAGAAGTATATACATATTAACATACACATACACAGATATATATATATATGTGTGTGTGTGTATGCATATGCCTGCAGAGACACACGTATAAGCAAATTTCCTCATTTTTCAACCACTTACTTGGACTCTCAGTCCATACATCAAGACTTGCATTTCACCACAAAATAATTGCATGTATGAAGTTTAATCAAGATTCATCTATGCTCTTCTGTGCTTACACTCCAGCAACACAAGAAAAGTGGAGCATGGAAATGCTGAGTTATCCAAACCACATATAAATTTATCCCTCCAGAGACAATTCAGCTTTCCACAAGCAGCTCTAAACACAAGAAACCCACAATAAATCCAGCTGCAGGTACTCAGGGTTAGACTAGCTATCAAAACATAAACATCTCTATCTACCTGCTTGTCACTATTCCCTTTACAACTGGTGAAGAGCAATGCAGTATAACCAGGACATATCTCACAATGAAGTACAAAAGATGAATTCCCTCCTACCAGTGCAGGCTTTCTGCACTGGTTACAGAGGTAAGCATGTAGGGGTGCTTGGCCCAATGCTTAATTAAATGTGCTGTGCAAAATAGAAGAACAGAAACCAGTCTGCAGTACCATCCACCCCACTCATTAGAAGCACAAGCTTGCACACCACAAAAAGAAAGCAACTATTTCTATGGGTAGGTAAGGACACGTGGTAACCACAAAGGAGGAAACATGAATCCCCAGGGAGAAAGAAGACTAAGAAAATTTAAAAACAAACATATGTTGATTTAATGCCTCTGAATTTCAAGTTATTGTACAAGGTGCCAGAATATGTCCTTGACTACTATTGAGCAAAACCCAACCTGTGCATGGTGTTACGGATTCCGGCATGAGTAGCAAGAAAACCAGTCTTATGAACAGAGACGTTCAAATTCAGTACTGTCTGTTTCACATTCCATGGCAATGGTAGGGCTTCAGAAAGCATATTTTGATGTAAATTCTCTTTTTTTTTTTTTTTTTTCCTCAGAATTAAATTTTAAGAGCATTCTATGAATGATGATGATGAAAAAAAAAAAAGAAAGAACAACTGACACAGGAGCATTGAAGCACTTCTATTTATTTCTAATTGTAAACCACAAAAGGATTGTCAGGAACTAATCAGTGATATGGTGATAGGAGGAAAGAGTACAGAAAAACACTAAATTCAGCTAAAATGTATTTAGAAAATATCTAAAATCACGCAAGACTTCCAAATATCACGACTACTAGCAGGGAAGATCAGAATATCAAACCACTGAAAAGCCTTTTGTGGCTCTTTTTCATTTATTAACATGACCATCCACAGGAAAGACAGTTTTTGTTAGGCAGAAAATAAAGACAAATCAATGTCTTGGCAGGAAGAAACACTGACCTATATCCTTTGAGTAAATACACTGAAACAAGAGCTACTAACTTCTCCTATGATTTCAAAGCTGCTTTCAAGTTTTCCCAAAACATCTCCTGCTGCTCTTCCTCACGAGGCCACTCCAGGTAGGTCTTTGTGTTCATTATCTTCCGCAGTTTGCAGAACCTCTTGGGAATAGCTTGGCTCTGGATGGGCTCCAGGAGGATGAGAATGGCCGCATCGTTGTTCTCGTCAAACAGGCGGAAGTGCGAGAAGTCCAGCTCGTACTTGCACCACTCGCTCTGCACAAAGTGCTCCGACAGCACGAAGAGCGTTTTGTGGCTCTTCTCAATGGAGTCGATGATGTTATCCACAATCCACTTCCCGGGCACAAAGTCCCGCTTATGGAGGCACAGCCGAAAGGGGGGACACGCCTGCTCCAGCTCCTGCACCATGACGTTTTCCACCCAGTTGGAGTCGTTCTCACTGTAGGAGACAAAAGCATCGTAGCAGATGTCCTTGGGGGGGGCTCTCTTGGGCTTCCGCTTGGCTCGGAGCCATGCCCACGTCATTCTCATGTACCAGACTGCGTGGTACTTGTACCCGATGGCCACCAGGACGAGGATGACCAGGAAAAACACAGCACAGATCAAGGACACCACCAGGGACTGGTGACACTCCATCAGTGAGAGATGAATGGCTCCAACCTGTGCCCCTCTCACTGCCAGGGGAGAGTCGCAGATGTAGCCTTCCGGCCACCCCACGAGCATCTGGCCTATCCCTGCCTGGTGCTGAATGAAGGAGAGGAATTCACAGGAACAGATAAAGTTATTGGCGCTGACATCCAGCAGCTCCATTTTCTTGAAGGACTCCAACTCTTCCTTGGAGAAGCTGCTGAGCTTGTTTCTTCCGATTGACATGGCCACCAAGTTAGGAATGCTTGCCGCATCAGGCAAGGCCTTCAGCTGGTTTTTTGCAAGGTACAGCTCTTTGAGAAACGGCAGATGCAGATTAAACTCCTTCAGGTTGTTTGCACTGATGTCCAACACTTCGAGAGTTGAGGGAATGCAAGCTGTTAATTTGGAAATACGAGTCCTGGAGAGATTCAAATATTTCAGCTTTGCTGGCCACTCACACACATCTGGAATCTCACCAAAATTGTTTTGGCTAATGTCAAGATTATTCAGTTTGGGTAGATTAGTTACATATTTTGCAGTCTGGTTTAGAGATTTTAAAGAGTTTTTACTTAGATTTAAAGTTTGCAATGAAGGCCAAGCATCTTTACAGATTGTCTCACTTAAGCGATTATTTACAAGCAAATTATCATGAAAGTCAAGATACACAAGCGATAAAAAATTTCTTGCAAGACTGCATGGTACCATGAAAACTTTAGAGCTTGCAATGCTGAGTCTTTTCAGTTTACTTATTTGTGACTCCAAACCTTTCAAGTCTAAAAACAAATAAAAATGCAGAATAGTCATATTAGTTACTGATACTGTTTCAACAGAACTTTGTCCACTTACTTTAATTAATTCAGTATTCCAATTTCCATTCCCCTCAAGCACACTATCTATTGACTCTAACTCTCGCAAAGATGTAATTTCTTTCAATAACACCATTATTTGGCTAGCATATTTATCTGAGAATGAAGCTCTGGTAAAAGTCATTTTTTGTATTGTTAAAGGAAGTGTAGAGTTCTGCACCAGTTTTTCATTTTCAATGTCCAATTTAATTTCTCTAATTTCTAACCAAATGGCAGAGTGCAGAAGATCACGAACAATTGCTGAGAACAGATCTACCCTTCTTATGCTTATGATCATGTGATTTATCTTCTTAATTGACTTCAGACTTCCAGGCTCATACACACTGAGATTGCTGCCCTCGATCCACAACTGGTCGAGAAGCGTAATGCCCTCAAAGTTTCCTTGCCTTATTGTGGAGAACCGCGGGTTGCCCAGGTGGAGAGAGCTCAAGTTTCTCAGGCTAGAAAAGGGAGAACTTTCCCCCAGGTCGCTATAGCAATTGCCGTGAATGTGGAGGTGCTGGAGCGAAACAAGGTGATCAAACCACCTTGGGGACAAGTGAGCCAGGCGGTTATTTGACAAGTCCAAGAGCTCCAGCTTCCCCAGGGAGACAAACGAGTCCTCGTCTATGGAGCTGATTTTGTTGGACTGCAGCAGCAGGGTCCTCAGGTTCACAGCCTGCTGCAGATCATGCGCTCGGATGTGCTTTATCCTGTTGCGGGCCAAGTCTAACAGCGTGATTTTGTCCGTGAGCCCCGAGGGAATGAAGTCCAAGCCCATGGAAGAGCAGTTGCAAGACTGAGTGGCATCGCATGAAGGACAGACCTGCTTCAGGGCTTGTTCCTCAGAGAGACTGACAGCCAAGACCACGTACATGGCCCACACTTGCCAGGTATGTGTAGCTGTTGATTTCTGTTTTGGTTGGTTGAACATTTTGCTGTAGGAAACAGAAAGGAGATAAGACAGTATTGATTTGGGGTTTGGACAGCAACTGGCAACAATTAGAATCCTGTGCAGTTTTATTAGCAAGTCCATATTCAAATTTTATCTTATATGAGATATCATGCAACATCAGTCCTATTTGAGCTGCTGAAACCTTGAAACACGGCATACTTATCTCTGAGATACAGCCATATAGTGTCTCAACGGCCATAAAGGATGACTCTTAAAATCCTGCCTTCTCAAACACCCACCTGCTTCAGCTCCTGTCTCCTACGTCTTCAGCATTATTCCTCCTCTTTGGGATGAAGCTACGACTGGATGTTTCAACCTAAGAAGGGGAAGGCTGTTAGAAACACACCCTTCGCAGCATTAAACCGTCCATCAAGTACAGCTACCAGGAAGTCAGAAGCCAAAAATCAGAAAAGGCTTATGACCATCTGAGCGGTACACACTGGCCCTCTTGGCCCAAAGAACAGGCTGTGTCTTCCTACACTGCAAACCTCTGCAGAAGAGACCCTGAGGTCTCCCACAGCGGAGCCTCAGGGCTTCTAAAAAGCAAAGCCGAGTACACTTCTGGCACGCCCTTTTAAACACTCTGCAAGCAATTTACATTCTTTATCAGAAAGGCTGAACAAGCTGATATCCAACCCAACAAAACTATCACCCTTTTCTGTAAATCAGTGCTGGGAATAGATGAGAATTAGACATTACCGTCACCCTATAAACAGTGAATGTAATTAGAACAATACTGATTTTAATTTACAGAAGGGCTGTGTTTCCTGCCATCGGTGCCAAAGAACATTTCACCATTAGCTACACCAGCAAATAAGTCACTTATTAAAGCTCACAAGCTGCTCTAAATGGTTTCAGTACTGACAAACAGCATCGCCCAATGCTGAATACACAGAGAGTCAATACTTACCTTGGGTACTGCACATCACACTTCTCTCTTCGTGTGCCAATATTGTACAGTCCAAGTAGTCACCTCATACCTGTAATTGCAACAAAAGCTTGAAACCCTGTGGCAGGTCTGGAGCTAGAAAATATTTCAGCCTGTGCTCCTCAGACAAAACCTTATTGACATCTTCCTAATCTCCACTAACTACTCAGCCAATGAAGCATATTGCTGTGCATGGCTATTCTTTAGTGGCTGCTCTCCGAAGGAAATCACGGCTTCTGAAGAATTCAGGATGGTCCACCACGCGTGACAATGACCTTCAGACTCACAGTCTAGCAGCATAATACATTTTTGTACCCTCCACTCCGCAAGCTGAAATTCAGCATCAGATCCCTCTCCTTCTGACGGGCAGCTCCCATTGCTCAGAAGGTGATGCAACCATTTAGCGCAAGTCACTCTTTCCCAATCACTTCCTGAGGAAAAAAGTGCAGAAATAGTTTCAAGGCAGAACAACATTCTGCTCCCTACCTCTCTACTTTTGGTATGTATTGCTTGGTATGTGTTGGGGGCTGTTAACCGGCCTGAGCAATGGAAGATCTCAGCACAGCCAAGATGTTTTGTTGTGTGGGTTCCATAAATTGTTTAAATATATATATATATTTATAAATAATTTGGAGTCAAGCTGTTTAGTCAAAAAGAAGAATGGAGAAACACTCAGCATAATTTCCTTTCCTAGGATGCGGCGATCATAAGTTATCAACAACTACAAAACGCATAAAATTGGAACAATACTTGGTCTCAGAAAGAAGACAGCTTGAAAGAAAGTATCCTGCTGTAAAAATTCAAGACAACTTTGAAAGGGAAGGCTTGATAACATTTATTTTCGCCTGACTGAATGGAAACTCACATCTGGTCAAATGGCCAAGCAGGCTGCACCCATGAAGGGGTAGGAAGCCTTCTTACCAGCACTGAGAGGGAAATCCATTAAATTCGAACTCCAAACCTTCTGACAACAATTTCTATCTTTTTTTTTCTTTTTTTTTTTTCTTTTTTTTTTTTTTTTTCTGAGCACAGAAATTGCCACAGTCTGCTGCCCACTTGCTGCGAGAGGTACCTGCCTGAAAGCAGACAGACACAGTGACTGCGGCCACCTGCGCAGCCACACGTCAGGGGCCCAGCAGCATCTGACTGCTCAAGGCTGACGAAGCCCAGGCAGAAGCTCAAGTGCATCTGAGAGCATGCTTCAGTCCTGCTACCTTAAAATGAGCATTGCACATAAGGTTAAAAAATTGCCGAAAGTTCCCTAAAGCTGTCTCTTCCCTCTTGCGCCTCTCAGCTGGAATAGCTCTTGTTTTTAAGCAAGGGAAACTTTTGGTTTTCAAAACTTTTGAAAATGTTAATTCTGAGTTTGGCATGACTCATTCCTGGGTTTTCATCATCGAAATTGCAACTCTTCAAGAAAGTTAAAGAAGTTACATTTGCGAAGAGCTTTCAAGATACACAAGAGGCTATGTGCTTCATTTACTGCCTAACAAGCACTCTTCCTTATGTCTTATGGAATCACTATCATGCATTTATGGAGACTTTAGATTTTAGGTAGGTGTCAGCTTTTTTTTTTTCTTTTTTTTCTGAAGCACCACCTTGTCTCCCAACATTCAGGCTCAGCCTGCTCTTATCACACTTCTAAACTAGATCTTGGGGGTGTTTCACTTGTTCAGAAAGCATAGGATGATAATACAGACCCTGAGCTTGCACACAAGAGTTTAAATGATGCATAGGGATGTGGTTTCTGGTTTCTTCCAGAAAGAGAAGACTGGAGAGACTCTGCCCCTCTGCCTTGGGGACCTTTCCCAAAACAGCTTGGATCAGCAAACTGCTTAAAAAACTGAGAAGTCAGGATGGGTGTTCTGCTTGTTTCCATCTGTAGGGGGAAAAAAAATAATCTACACAACTTCTCTCACTCTCATTCCAGGTCAATTTTTCGGGATTTCTCAGGTTACCTGGAGTCAGGAAGGTCTGACAGTTCACAGTGTGGCCAGAAATACTAGAGACTGGGCTCAGAATACCTTCTTTCAAAGTCAAAGTAGGAAAAAAGTCCCGCTTTTTAAGGCAAGAATAAAATTCATCTCATCTGCTTTTTCTCCAGAGCAATCACATGTTCTGCATTGAACAAAGCTGTGTCTGGTGAGTGCTTTCTCTCTTCCTCCGTGTCCAACTTGAAGCTGTGATTCTCCTTCCTCTTTTGCAGTGCTTCACAAGGGTGTGTGCCTCCACCGACCAGCACACTACATTTTCCCAGCAGAACGGCGCAGAGCTACAAGAAGCCTGTGCTCTTGTAGCTGTGGCTGCTCCAAGCAGAACCCCACACTGGCCCTTGCCAGAATGTATGTAGGGCTGAGGGAGAGCTGTGCAGATCCTTTCTCAAGCTTTAAATGTCACTGTGTATCTGACGGCAGCAGATACCTGATCTGTATCTGATGCAGCACCCATTTCCCTCAGGTGGCTATGCCCTGGCACCCAGCCCCAGCCCTGGGCTCTGCATCGCTGCTCCTGCCGCAGGGACAGGCTCCTGCCTTGTCCCACCTCCAGGATTAAATCGCTGCTGCTGGGCAGGGCAGCCACACACGGAGGAGAGGACGTATTAGATGGGTGTGGACCAAAACAGACAAGAAAATGTTTATGATTTTTGTTGAACAGAACCCTACGGAAGTAGGTGTGCTGGTCAAACACCATGAACCAAGCAACGCCAGATGGCGGGGGAGCTTGGCCTCGGGACCAGGCTCCGGCTGCCAGAGCCCTGCAGCCCTCTCCTCCTGCCAGCCCTGGTGCCACCCCCCACAAGCACATCTCTCTCTTTTTAAGTCATTTCCTCTTCACAGTCCCACGGGAGAGGATCCTGTGGCTGGTCCCCTCCCTTCCTCTCTGTCCTCCTGCATCCACGATCCCAATGGCTCTCGTTTTGCTCTTCCGCTTGGGAGATTGAGAAATGACCAGCGAGTATCACGGGGGGGCCTCACCAAGGGCAGGCGACTCCTTCCCCAAGCCTCTGCCTCAAAGAAAACACAGAAATAGCAGTGCAGGGAGGGAGTTCATGAATCCACTGGCCAGCAGCAATATTAGCAGAAGTGCCTAGCGAATTTTTACAAGCAGTGCAGAGCTCCTGCCTGATACTCACCCCGGTGACCAGGACACGCCAGCTTGTCTGCAGCAGCACAAGCTGGGCTGAACCCGCAGCGCTCTTCTCCTGACCCCCCCTCGGAAATGGCTGGTGAGGAAAGGTGGTCAAATCTGTGCCTGCAGTCTCTGGAGCAGGAGGTATGAGGCTTGTGTAATTGGAAGCAGGAGGCTTGGCATTGCTTCACGGTTCTGCAAACAGAGCCTTGGCATGCACTGCTGGTGCCTATGCTTTAATCTGACTTGCAGCACTTCAGGTATTCATCTTCAAACTAAAAAATAATAATAAAAAAAAGCATTATAATGAAAAATTATGAAAAAGCAATTTTAACTCCACCATGTTCCCTATCAGGCTTACATTGACAGCAGCAGAATCCCCTGGTTAGATCTGCAGATGCAGCTTAAATGTAGAAGAATAGATTCCCCTTACTTTTCTTCTGCAACATCCTCATTCATCTTCTTGTTGTGGCAGAGTGTGAGCCAGTGTTGTGGAACTGACTGCACATACAACAGCCAGCCTTTTGGACTGTCTTTGCCAAGGAAGCAAGTTTGTGTTGTTTTTTTTTGTTTTGTTTTGTTTTGTTTTCCTTTCTCCTCCTCTTGCTCATATCCTTTCTGAAAGCTCTCAGTCAGAAACGAAGCTGATTTGCTGCCTAGAAGAGGAGCAGCTACCAGGGAGGATTGCAGGCTGTGACACAAAGGTTTACGCTAATAACACAGAAAGTTCTGCCTTTACGGAATAGCTGCAACAGTGTGACTCAACAGGGGAAACATCTGAATTTCTCTGAAAATAGTCCTGTTGATTTTTTGACTCCCAAGGAACATGCACCAACACAAAGCAGCTGCATGTGAGGCACCACTAAACGACTCAGCTCCTTTCTTGCTTTGCATTTTAATATGTAGGATGAAAACATATTTTTTTTTCTGACACGGATGTTAGGATTTGCAGTTGATACACAGCTTTAAAGCAGTAAATACCACAGCAAATTTAGACGCCCTTCCCTTGCAGAACACCTTGACAAATGCATAAAACCCTGTTACCAGTGTCACACAAATTTGTTACCCCAAAACGAGACAGCTCACCTGGCATGCTGCAGGGAGCCAGGCAAGGTATAAAGCAGGTGCCACCAGCCAGGAGGCTCCCTCGGTGTGTGTGCAGGTACATCAGGTTACATACCACTGCCTCTGAGCACTGCCTGGGACACCCTACACCCCTGAGAAAGGGGCCTGGTGCCCAGGGAAGATGCAGGGATAGGGACTGCATGCACAGGCAGGTGCCCGAGAGCCAAGACGACAGCTTTTCCTACAGGCTAGCTTGGCTGCATCAACCCTTACTTATATTTCCCATATCCATAACCCAAGATCCCCACATGTGCTCCACAGGGAGCCTAAACAGCCTGTGGGAACACAGCCTGAGGGCTGGGCTCCCCCTTAGGTACCCTGCAAGCAACAAGCTGTAACACGGGGGACACGAAGGGAGAGGAATCGCATCTCTTACGCTTGCTGTTGGGCAGCTTCTGCTTCGTTTCAGCTCACCAGGAGGGAAAATACGCTCTCACAGTCCGCCGGGTGCGAGCCATCACCAGCAGGCTGTCGTTAGGAAGCGAGGGTTTAACATCCCAGCGTTGGAATTTCCCGTGAAGGGGAAAAAAGGCTTCCCTCCACTCCGAGGAAAAGCTTTTGCAAACATGCTGGGCAAAGGGACACGTATGCCGGGAAATGTCACTTTGGGAAATGTCCAACAAACTGTGACCTGCCTTGCTGAGAGGAGATGGGGGCATGGACACGTGTTTTCCGCCTGGCCCTGCCCTGATACACAGAAGAAAAGTGCCCCCTTCCCCCCCTCCCTTATTTATTTATTTATTTATTTATTTATTTATTTATTTTACGTGGAAGAGAAACATACTTGGGAATGGGACCAAGTCGCCACATAAGCAGCCAGAGTTTGTTTCCTGCATGGAGATGGAAAACGCGGTGCTGGGATGCAGAGATACATTTTTAACTGCTTGTTACACAAAAATAAAATAAAATAAAATTCTGCTTAACAGTCGGGCAACAACCTGAGCAGGAAATGAATCAGGTCATTATCATATACCATAAAAATATCGAGATTTTTGTATTTTTTTCCAAAAGAGACAATGCCTGGATATATTTTGCACAGGTAGCTCAGGCTTTGCATTCAGTTGCTGCCTCCCTCTGTCTCCGATGCTATGAAGTATTTCAGATGTGACAGTGCGTTTCAGAAAGAGAAAGCCAGCCCATCCCAAATCCTTGTTTTCAGCTTTTAAAACCTCAGAAGTTCTACCTTTGGTGCAGGCACTTTTCTTGCCTTATCTGCAGTCAAAACACCATATTTTTAAAAATTAGGCAAAATCTAAATAGCTCTTCCCAAGTTTGTGTGTACTGGAAAAAATGACATCTTTCCTCTTGCAAGGATTAATTCTATTGTGTTCTTTTGCATTTCTATATTTTTTAACCAACTTTTTTAGGAGCTTAAATAGAGCAAAGTTTTAATCAGCCACAAAAAAATAACTTTACTTAAACTGAAAAGCTCGATCATAAGATGATGTTAATAATTACTTGAAAAGTGTGTGTCGAATCTGATAGAGCCACCAGAACATCTTCAAATAATTAGATATTTCCACTATCTGACTATTCCCTGACTTTCCAGACTTGAATATGATTGAAAACAGACATCCCAAGCTGATTTTCAAGTACGCACTCAGCTATTTTAATCATTCCTCCTAAATTATCCTCAGATTGCATTTCTTGCAGTACCCTAAGTGTGAGCGTAGCAATACCAGCCTGGTAATACTGCAGTCACAACTCACCCTGTAGCTGTAGTTCCTGTACCCATTGCGCCTCTTTGCCTTTATCCCAGTTTCCACAAAGCAAAAAATGCCCTGTGCTAGAAGAGAAATCCCAAAATAAAGTGCTGTCTAATACTGTGAATTACCCACCTGAACAAATTTTGTCGAATTCAGCTCTAACAGCCAGTTACCCGGACCACTTCCATAGGCTGGGCAGCGGCGGCATGGGCTTGTGAAGGAGTGGTCCTATCTCAGCGATGTCCCATTTCCCCAGAAGCACTGCTGCCCTTCAGGCCTTTTAGCAGGATGTCAGACCTCTGGCAGAGACCAAAGCCCTGGTGTGGTAGATGGTTACAAGCACAGAGTAAAAGAAAACAAAACCAACAACCCTGCTCTTAACCTAAAATCAAGTAGGCAACAGGGGCTGTAGTGATGCTGAAGACTTTTGCAGGTCTTTAATAAGGACATGTAGGACACATGGTAGCACATTCTTTTGGGCAATCTTATCCCTAATTTGCAGCTTTTGGATGGAAGAGATATCAAAGGAAGAGGGATCGCAGGAACTATAGGCAAAGACGCGGTAAAAATATCAACCTTCATGACAACAGCTAGAATTATGGGGCAAGGCTAAGTTGGTTCACAGGTAACCATAGGATAACAAAATCTTAAATCCACTCAGCTGTGGGAAAGAGCATCTCTCTCACCTTGTCTCAACGCAGGGGATACTCCTCCGACCCTGAACCCGTGATGAGGTTTGCACCTGCAGGCACAAGAAGGGCTTTGTTTCTCTGGGTCCCAGCATCCAGCACTTAACAACTCTCACCCAGCAGGCCGGCCACCTGGTTGGCTTTCAGCTTAGCACTTACCCAAGTGTCAGCGTACAGATTCTTTTTCTATTTACAGAGGTTATGCTACATTTGTGTTTCTTTCATGTGCTGTTATTATGACATCATTTTAAATTAATTTCCTGTCTGTTCCGTGATTAATAGTCTCAGCAAATTGCCTCTGGAATCAGTCCTTCAGAGCACCTTATTTCTCTGGGGTTGGTTTCTTGAGCTCTTTGTTCCTGGCTCACTTCTAGGACAAAAAGGCCAAGCAAAGTGTATTGAGGTGCGTGACCCTCTGCTGAGAGGATTCCCTCTCGGTCCTCTCTCTGGTGCCTCCACGTCTCCATCTGTGATAGTGCCTTCTCTGCTGTCTGCACGGCCTGCCAGCTGAATGCTGTCTTCTAACAGTCACTAACAACAAAAAAAAAAACAGTGGAAGATGGGATGGATAGTGCAAAGGCTGGCTGGGCTCTTCTCCCCTACTGTTCACAGTTCTCAACTTTCCTGTAAAATCAGTTTTCCTTACACTTACCAGCACAAAGCACAGCCTTTGAATGACTTTTGTTCACTTTCTGCAGGCTGAGGCTTTGGAAATCCTGTCCCTGGGCCAGGCAGCCCCTTCTCTTTCACGGGGAACTCTGCAAGGAGCTGGAGAGCTGGCCGACTAGGCAAAAAGCTGTGAGCTCGTAACGTCTCATCAAGTAACAGGACAACTTTGATACCAGTGACTCACTGTGGGTAGGTCAGGTCTGCAACTGCTGCAAGGATTAAGGGAGGAGGGAGCGCTTTCACCCGTCCTGGCTCTGTGCACCTCCTCCTGCAGAAAAAGCCTCCCGGTGGAGAAGAAAACGCTTTGTGCCCTGCTCTGCCTTCTCTTTCCCACAGGAAGTCCCCAGAAGAAACCCCCATCCCCCAGAAAGGCAACTGATCATAAAATAATCCCTCTCCGTTTGCTTTCCGTGACGCTGCTGGCACAAGAATGAACATGAGCGCTGCCAAAATTAACAAGCAGGCATGGCAATCCCGCCTCTTGCTAGAGAGCCTTTCCAGACCTGCCTGAGCTTTCTTCTGGTGGCTGCACACAGAGGCAGGCTTGAGTCAGAGCCTATCTGTAGGAAAGAGGCAAGCGAGCACCTAATCTGACGTGACTAAAGCGCCTGAGGGCAAGGTGCCAGCTTTCTGGGCGGCTGACCTCTCTGCTCACAATTTTTCATTCGGGTGGTTTGCTTTGGCTAAACGTCTTTGGTAAACATCGCGAAACACCAAAACCAGGAAATAATTTATTTTTTTTTAAGGAGAAAAAAAAAAAAGGAATCAAAACTAGTAATAGATCTTTCTTTGTCCTTCCAGGAACCAGCCTTACCCAGGCCAGCACACACCATCTGGAGCGGAGCAGAGCAGGGCCTCCTCGGAGACCTGCAGCAGCGCTGGGATGCCCAGCCACCCCACGGGGATTTCCAAATCCCTGGGGATTTCCTTCTCCTCCAATCCTGGCTTTTCCCTGCAACTCTTGGCATGAAAGAGAGCAACTTCAGAGCACCAAAGTCTTTCCCATCTTGTGACTGTTTACTGAAGGGCAAAAAGGCATGATCTGGGAACTGGAGTAAGCCTTGCAGAAAAGATGGGTAGAGAAGATGGATACAAGGGAAAGCTTAACCACAGGGCACAGGCAGGGTTGGCTGGCACCAGCAGCATTGAAGTATCCTGAGCATCCTTAGAAGGGGTAATGCAGAGGAAGGGTACCACCAGCAGCAGGTCCAGGGATTTCATAACCATGCTCTGTATATGTAACTACTGCCAAAGATGTGCATTTCAGTCAAGCCAACTACAAGGTTAGCCTCCTTATAAACAAACAAGCGCGCACACAATGTACAAACCAGGCAAACAGAAGCCCATGTCCTGAAAGGCCGTATTTCAGTGAGATGGCTGGAGTTAAGAGTCATCGCGCACGTAGCGGCATTCCCCTGTGATATTGTGGGCTTTGGCCTCGAGAGCAGAGCAACGAGGCTCCGTCTGCAGAAAGAGACAGACTTTAAACTAACGTTACATGTTTGTGGAAAACAGAAGCAGCTGTTTTGCAGACAAACTAATAAAAGTCGGCATCGCTCGTAAGAACAAGATTTAGCTCAACTACAGCTCTAAAATATCTGCGTTCCAAAATGCTTTGGAAAAACAGCCTCTTCTGCCTTCAGAATGGGTTGAACAATCAAAAAAAACGTTTTCAAAATAAGTTGTACAGCTGGAAAGCCGCTTTCTGAGTTTACTGAAGCTGGTACACAGCATTTCTACCTGCTGCTGGGCAGCACTGCAGTTCCTGTGGGTTTGATAGCTTTAGACATGATAAATACAACCTGTCCAAGAGACCACACCGAACTCTGAGCCAACTTGTACCAAACTAAGCCAGGCATCCTGTGGTCTTACTTCTCCCCATCACCTTCTGGAAGATAAAACAGATATCTGTGATTAAGTGTGTTGCCCTAAACACACAGGGATGGTGATATAATTAAGATATCTAGGAGTTATACACAGATCTACAGGCTCTCCCTCTTCCTACCGTGAAATACATCCTTATCAGGCTCTCTCAGACCTCCAACTTCCAGATTTTTCCTCTCTTCTTTTCATATCTTCAGTATGTTTTGAGGCAACACTGAGTCCACAGTAGTTGTAATTAAACAAAAAACAACCAACCAAACAAACAACAAGCAAACAAACAAAAAACAGAGCAGCCATTAGGCTTTATTCACTGCAGGAATAGATGGGGGAATTTGAAATCACCAAGTCAGTCCCATTACTGTATGTATACATTTGGTCTGTCATCTATTAAAATGCATGACTGTATGTGCCTGGCAAGTGCTTCAAAGTTTTTCTTTTGATCTTTACAAAGATAAAACTGTAATATTTTTGTAGGTATATAAGAACATTAGTTACTGGACTAGTTAAAAACCACTTAACTTTTGAAACTGGTGCCATCTGTTTCCTATTTTTATTTATAGAATAAAATACTCCGCCTCTAAGGACTTCTCTAACAAGCCCTCTCATACGAAATAGCAGTGATGTTTTGGCCAAGACAGCTGAGCTCCTGCTTGACGGGTTTGTGGATGGGGCTGGCCATCCAAACAAAGGACTGCAAAAATGAGAAGGCAAGGAGAAAGTCAGACAGCAAGCCATCTAAGAGCCTTTCACTCGTCCCTCAAGTCAGCTTTTCAGCAAGAACACTACCTTGGTTAGGCTTCAGGCTCCTTTATTATAGCAAACGGCGTATGAGATCCTTGCAACCCAACCCAAACCTGCAGCTTACTGAGTTTTGTGTAAGTCCCTTTCAGGGATGCACACAGATTTATATTCCACTGAGAAAACCAGTAAGTAGGAATTAACAGTTTTGTTATATTGGTACCTCTCCCTTAAGAATTTGGAAATGTTTTTATAAACAATTACTTGTAACAAGTTTTAGTCATTAAACTGACAAATAATCAAAAATGTTTCAAGTGGAAATAAAGCTTCATTTCTCAGGAATAAAAGAAATAACACCTTTAAACCAACAACCTACCAACCAACAAACATTCAGGGCATCTCTCACAGGCACACAGATACCTTTCCTTAGTGACAGTGTGAGCTGAGAGCTTGGCACACTACTAATTGCGACAGCACAGCAACTGCTGCAAGTCGCGTGTTGCTGTAGGGTATCAACCTGCATCATGAAGTTCAGCTATTACAAAGGAAACCCAGGACCTTGTCTACAAATACCTCTCATTAGGCAGAAATCCCTCAGGCTGGGGCAGGCAGGAAAGGCTCATGTCCCTGCCGGCTCAGGCTGCCCACCATCATGTCCTTCATTCACGTCCCAAACTGCTATTGCCATCAGAAGCACCCCAGCCCAAAAGCCATGGGAAGTTCAGGCCACGAAGACATGCGATGTTCAAGGCTACAATTGCAAGCAAGCTCTGCAAGCTTACAAAGAGGAAGACAGCAATGAGGTAGTAGTGGTGAAAGGGATAGCAACATACTAGGAGAAGGTGACTGAACGATATTTGTGCTCACCAGAGTGACGGTGCAGCAGGGTGCTGGGGAAGTGTCCAAGCTGGGCAACTGGGCCTTGGTTAAGCAGAAGATGCCTACGGTCTGGTTTCTTTCAGCCCCAGAAAGAGCATTCATTGCATAATGAGGATATACAGACCAGAAAACACTGAAACTCGGCATTCAGAGTCATTTGGAGAGTGCGTGACCTCAACTCAGTACTAGCAGTGGGAGCCCAAACGCAGATGTAGGCGTAATGTCCTTAGCTGACGAGAAGGGGTGACAGGCGCAGCACACCATGGGTCACAGCCCTGAGGAGAGCAGAGAGGAGATAAGGGCTTCCCTGCTGCAGGGTGCACAGGGCAGCAATGAGATCATTTTCCATTTGCTCACAGGCGCTGCCATCACCCTGCTTTGCCCCTGCAAGCACAGCCAAGCAATGAGCAATATGTTCCCACGGCACGCTCTCAGTGTCATCTGAGGAGTGCGATGGAAAGGTTACCGTGTTTTCTGTTGCTTCTGCGGGGTTTCTTTATCAGTTTTGACATCTGGCTTGCATGCTCTGGTGTTGCACGTGTGGCACTGCACAACACCTTGACTTTAACAAGGCCGTGCCGTATGAAAGAAGTGAAACCCACCTCTCACTAAAATCAGAACCAGAAACCCCAGCAGGCCTCGTGGGGTGTTGATGGCCTCGCTACAACACCCAACCCGCCGTCCTGCATGAGAAGAAAGTTGTGTTTCTAGTTTCAATACAGCCCCGACCCAGCGCATCCTGCTTCCCCCGGATGCCGCGGAGGCAACCGCCTCCCTTCCACGTCGCCGCTTCTGGAAGCCGTAGTGAGTCCAGCGCGCAGGCTTCCCGCACATCTGTGCTACGGAGGACGTGTGAAAGCGCTGACTTCCCTCCACAAACCGTACATTCAGTCAAAATTAAAACCAAACAACCCACTCCCAGCAAACCAAGCATTTCGCCAGCGCGGTTTGAGGAGCGAGGTCTGGCCGAGCCCGTCACACCACAGGCCGGCTCTGGGGGATGGAGCAGCGCCGTCCCGAAACCACTGCACGGGCGCTGGGTTTGCTGAGGAGCAGCTCTGCGGTCGCCCTCCGAGACAAGACAACTCAGGAGGTGCACACACACATGTACAGGTTCAGCTGCGAGCCAGGCCTGCCTCCTGGTAGAGTGGCTGGAGGCGATTAAATGACCGGCTTGTGCTGGACAAGCAGCTCGGTCACTGGCTCACCCAGCACTGGTTTGTGGGCCGGGGAGCCCCGTGGCTGGGGTTGGCACATTCCCTGCTCACCCAGGCCACCACCAGCCTGCGAGCAGCAGTCCCGAACAAAAGCTCCAGAGGCACGCAGCCCAGCAGTACCACCCTGGTACTGCTGCCGCCCTCCACATCCACCCCAAAATTCAAAAGGGTTTGAGGGGTTGGGCCACTGCGGTTTAAGTGACCGGAAAGAAATGAAGCAAAGCAGAAGCCGTGGAAAAAGCGAGCCACATGGTGTGCGAGGCACAGCGGCAAGGGAGGCTTTTTTGTTGGGGAGGCACGGAGAGAGAGGAGACTTCTGCAGGGAAAGCCACCCCAGGGATGAAGGGACGAGCATCAGCAGGGGAGCGCCTGGGTCAGTGCCTCTAGTGACGACCACAGCAGTGGGTGCAAGCTCCCAGGACCTCAGTTGCAACACCTCTTTGTAGGGCTGGGACAATAAATCCTCCCCCATGCTACTCCACATCCCCCAGCTCGAGGAGATGGGGAACAGTGCCAGGCCTCTCGCCCACCACAGCAGAAATGGGCAACTGCTGTCAGAAACGCTCGGGCCTGCTGGGACACCCACCTCCACCAGGCCGGGCGAGCGAGCCTGGCCCCCTGCAGCCATGCC